GACCGATTGTGAATCGAATTGATACAAAGTGAATCCGACGAACAATTACTACAATCCGTTCGGATGTGACAACGGGCACCAGACCAACCAGTCTGACATTGACAAAAGAATTCTTCTGTATTCATATATTTCGAACATTCGCCATTCTGACAAGACGAAGCACAGTTGTGAACGTTACGCATCCGATATGCTGGCATTCTCAACATGATAGCCAGTCGATTAACGGGCATGAAGAGAAACGGGATTTTAATGGACCAACTCGCAAGATATTCCAAACTGATTTTCTTGAAAACATCAATGCGAATGCTATAATTCTTTGACATGTTTTTAGGTCGCGTTGGGTATAAAAGGTAAATATTATACTTCATCGAGCACTTTTGTGTTGGTAAGTACAACACTTGTTCAGTAGCATAAATTTCTTGCCGATCATTATCATCATCAAACAAACTTACTGCGATCTCATAGAGCATACGACTATCAGCGGCAAATACTCCTAAAGTTAAACTCACTCGCTCGCTTTGATATTGACATCTATCACCGTAATAACTTGGCGGACAAAAGCACTGGTAACTGAGACTAGTAGGACTGAGCCAGAGTTGAGCATAAAGACCGCGATGACAATGCCATGCCAACAGAAAATCATTAGTCTCAAAGTGTCTCGTGTTCTTGGCAAAGTGCAGTTCTGTTGATTGTTCATGAATACGATTAATCTCTGCAGCTTTTCTGGGAGGATAGACTGGTGAATTCTTCAAGGTAAACGGTTTAGTTTCTGCTTGGTAATCACCAAACAGACAGAGTGCTTCGTCTGAAGGAGTTCGATCGTGAATCTTATATTCGCTACAAATATCACGACGATCTTCACAAAATGCTTCATCATCACCTTCGGGACATTGCGGAAAATCATCGCAGAGAGAGCGGGAACTTAAACAGATCGTCCTATTGGAACATTGAAAATAATTCAAACTAACTGTTGAACCCCATTCGCTGCTCATAAGGTTTCG